CGTGCAAGTGGGGCAGCGGTTGTCTGGGTGCCGTGAGCGCTCGCGACGAATGTCACACCTCCGCTCGCGGGGGACGCGGTGGGGATGATGGTAGTAGTGCTGCATGATGCGCGCCGCATTTCCTCCGAAGCGCGTCAGCAACCATGTGCTATTTTTCGCCGGCCGGCGGCCCGTGGGGTGCTGCATGATGCCGGCGGCATTTCTTTCGGAGCGCGTCAGCGATCACCTAGCTGCATGCAGCTCTACTACCATCGCGCGACGCGGCATCCTCCGCGGGCGGGGGTGTGACATTTATTGCGAGCGCGTTAGCGATCACCTAGCTGCTACTCGATCGCGCTAAAGATCTACTGCCGCCTGTGCGGTGCAGGTGGGTAGCGATGATGAGCGCGGCATAGCGCTTCTCGGCACGGTCTGCTCGGTGCTTTGCCTGAGCCAGGCCACCGCCCACAGCGCCTAGGTGGCGGGGTGGTGCATGTCGAGGCTCGGCAATTGCCAGGGTACTCTTCACATCAGACAATTGCAGGCAGTCGGGCATCTATATTCATTCACGCGAGTGCCTAAATTTCGACAAACGAATGCAGGAGCTATGCGTAAATGATCTGAACGCGTACACTCCGATACACGTCTGAGCCGCAGTGCGCACACCGCATGCTTATGGCTTCACAACCAAGACGGGTGGTCACAGCTAGCGAGCAACCTGATGGAACGCGTTACCATCCCGTTCTGTACCACCGGCGGTTGGCTGGGAAGCTCAGACCTGGAAGAGACCGCCCCCCTAGGATAGGGTCACCAAAGTAAGGTAGATGAGCAAGGGGCCGAAGCGCTTCTTAACCTCCTTCGACTCACATCGAGTGTCAGATCGACAAGCCTTTGGTATGCGACCGATGTTTGATTAGTTCAGCGAGGATAAATTCTGACGTGCAGCCTTTCACAAGAGTACGTACTGGTTGGACTTGTCGATGCCAGCGCATAGGACCCTCCACTCGCCGCGTCCCATCAATTGAGGCGCTGGCATTTGCAAAAGGTCTAAATGCTTTCCTTGCACAACTTCTAGGCAAGCACTACTCCAGGCTTGCCACAATTGCTTGTGGGTTCTTCCCTGCACCGTGAGGACTGGACGCGAAAGGACCTAGGTCAGAGGACGAAGCACCGCCGTGTCTTTGAACGTCTGCGAACTCACTTTGTGGCACGGCTGCATAACTGGTGTCGCATACAGGCTTGCCAGTGCCAGACAGGCCAACGCTTGCGGCAATCTGGTATCGAAACAGGACGATCAGACGTGATTCTCTGCCCCGGGCTCGACGTATGCTGACTGACTGACGTTGTCTGTGACGTCACTCCAGCTTCGTGGGGATGCGCGTGCATTGCCAGATTCAGCCGCTCGCTCACATTACTGCCACATCGGCGGTGCCAAGTCCTCACCTCTTCTCTACAGTCTGTAAAGCGCAACGGATGGCAATGCTTTGATCGTTCGGTTCAGCTGGCCCAAATATGGCAGCGACGGGAACATTCTTCTCTGCTGCGAGCTGATTACACGCTTTCGAGACTGTTGTTACAAATTTGAACGGCACCCTATCGTCTGCTTTGCCTCTAGCGTACACTGAAGTCCGACGACAAGTCCCAGTGGGTCGGGTCAGCCTGCAGATCGCTTGAGACCTTCCCAAGTCCCGGCCCAGGACTTACATTTTGGGGTCGGGACCAGTCCACCGCCGCACGCGGATGTTGACAAATCGGCACCAGAACGACTCTCGTTTGCGAAAGAGTGGCTGGCAGGTCGGTCACGCAGGTGGAGCTCGCTCATGAGGCGGCTGGAAGCCTTGCGTCGCCCTCCGGGACCGACCACACTGTTGGCAAGCGCTTTGGAAGTGAGGCACGCAGCCCAACTTGCGAGCAAGAGAATCTGAACGAATCGTGTCTGAATCATGATGAAGTTGTCGAGCTGAAACGAAGTGGTGTGGCGCAAAAGGGTTGCCCAGAGATGAAACATCCATAAGCTCAACTTATAGGGATCGAGCGGTTGCAGATGAGGCTTCTTTCCACCGCGCTTTGCCTCCTGGGGCCTTTGCAACCAACAATCCGCGGTCAAAAGAGAGTGCTGCCAGCCTTGAGCTGTGCCCTGGTTCCTGAGAGGAATCAACTCGCGGAAACGTCCGAGACGAGGAACGAACCCCTCACTCTTCGCGAGAGGTGGTATCCTGATCCTTTTGCGGCCCGCACAAAAGCTGACCTGAGCTGCGCTGCCGCCACCAGCCACGGCGCTCCCAGAAAAAGGGGAAAAGGGTTGAACGAAATAATTAGGTTCCCGGTGCGCGGCCGTACCGAGTCATTGCTAAGAGGGGCAGTGTCGGCCCGTCTGTCGGCCCGTCGGACTACGTATTGGACCGTTGAGGCCAGACTGCGAGCAGCCTGCTCCACGGCGCCAGTCGCGTGGAGGGCATATGCACCGATACCCCTGCGCAGTCGAACGAAGGTGTGTATGAAGTCGTTGCACAGCGACAGATGTGGGAGCCCTGGGACGGAGGTTGCCCGCCTTCAACTTTCCGCCCAAGTAGACGTCATCTGCGCCAATTTACTCCAAAGGCGAGGTCCGGCCGGAGGATTCCATGCGCGACTTGAGTCCATCGCAGCCAGAATGTGGGGGGCAGTCGAGAATCTGTGCGCAAGAGACCCGAGCTGTGAGCGCAAGAGGGTCAGGGCCTCAACCATTGTCGATGCGTAGACTGAAGCCGCGTTGGTGCAAGGCTGCGCCGCTACCCAGGTCCAGGCGACATGGATGGGGTGAAGTTGACCGTGGGCGAAGCGTCGGGCGCATCGATCGATCAGTGCAGCCCACAACCCCTCTGCAAAGCTTGGTTTGGCAAGGGTGTATGAGCCCACACTACGGGTTGTATGCGCTGCGACTGCGTCCCAGCAGCGTAGCCTCAGCGCATGACGACATTCTGTCCAGACCTGAGCCAGAGCGAGGCGAGAAGGCGCGCCGACAAAGTGGATGGGCGATGGATACAGGACACGTCGTAGGCAGGAGCATGGTTCAGATTCCTTCGGCGCCTCGACTCACCACCGAGTGGCAGAGTCAAAGTCAGGGTCGTGAGTGCATTAGAGAGTCGGAAAGAATGCGGCGAGAAGCGCTCTTTGCCATCGTGTGCATCGCTGCACCGGCCGGGCCCGCATTCCGCGTCGGGCACGCGCCCGCCGCTTTGCCCTGACGCGATCGATCGAATACACGCGGCTGACGCGTGAATTCACGCGCACTAGCGCGCCATTCATGATGGTTTTTTCGCCATCTCTATTCAAATTGAGATTATTATTAATACAAAATTCGTGATTGCAGGAAGCCGATGTCGCTAGCTCGCGGTCGTTCGCCTTGAGGCGGGCCATCATCCATCCGCGCCTCCACACTGCTGCCTGTTCGTGGACAGTTCGTCACCGATGAAGGCGCAGCAGCGACACGACCCACGCGTCAAGCTTGACTACGGTCCACCACCGCCTCTGCAGCACTTCACTCGTATGCGACGTGCTGTTCCTCCTCCGCAAAAAGTGCTGCTTCGAGCGAGGGTCTGCGCATCTCCCATTCCACCTCGACGCGCAGAAAAGCGGTCGACACCTGTCCTCTCTTGCCTCGGCCAGCTCCCACGTATTCTCCAGAGTATCGCGATCGCGAACGAGTCTTTCTCGTCTCTCTCAAGCCACGCCGCACTGCACCATGCTCGGCGCCATCTCGCAGAGACGGGGCCATCAAGCAGTACTGATCAGCCGGTTCGGTCGCAGTGCGCTCCGCTCGCCAAGCAGTGACAGGCCCATGTCAGCGATACACAACAGCGGGGCAGCGGGCTTCGACCTTGCTGGAGGCGTGGGGCACACAGATGCCCGCTCAGCTCGCCCTTCGCTCGCCAAATCCATGCGGCGATCTACTGGATCAGGGTCGAGCCCCGAGCAACAGCGCCGCACCTACCGGCTTCTTCCCACGCAAACAGTGGCAATCGCAGAATCTGTGATCAACTTTTCTGGATCACCTCATCTTTTGTTCGATGGATCTGTCATCACGTCAGCGACTGAGGCTAGTGGAGCGTGGAGACAGCACAACAAGGGCAACGGTGTGCGCTTGGTGGCGGATGTTGTAGAAGATGAGCCGGGCGAGGTGCAGTTCTTACGACGCGGAGACGCAAACTCGAGCGAGCTGAAAGGAACGAGCCACATCGCTCGCACTGCGCAAGAGGCGGAGGATGTAGCCGGTGCAATGCTCAAGCATCTCGTCTTGAGCCCCAAGCCGCCATTCCTGCCCAAGTCCGTCGGCCGGCTGCTCGTGATGCCCGTCCAAGCTCCTCATCCGAGCTCTCAAAGATCAGGCGTATCCACGCAAAACGCCAAGGTGGCTTTGCAGCCAGAAGCGCGCAAATACAGCGTCCTCTTGCACGCTGATCGCGTCGTGCATTCGGTGGGACATTACGGCCGAACGCAGCTTGGACCTACTCTGCTCATCAGACCAGGTGCTGCGAGCGATGCCAGCCTCATCGAGCTGCACAGACGTGGCGATGACGAGGTGGTAGCAGTGCCAATCGATGTGCTGCCTTTGGCGAACAGGGAACTCCCGCAGCCCACTTCACTGGGTGTTCAGGCGGCCTGCGCCTCAGAGGTCGAAGCATTAATCCGCCAAGTGGGTAGCCGTGCGGCAGAGGAAGCCCTGACGCAATTGTCAAAAGCAGCAGATCTGGAGCAAACGCGACGTGAAAAGCTAGCGCATTTCCTTCGGGAGCTGTTTGTGATGTTCTGGAGGGGCGATGCTGAAAGGATCGCGGTCAATCTTGCGATAAGTGCTGATGGTAATGTCCAATTGGACAGCGACGTGCCCACAGTCGGCATCGAAGCTTCGTTCGACGATTTCTCGCTTTTCCGTCAACCTGATCTGACCGAGATGCGGTCCAAGAGTGAGGCACGATGGTCAGCAAACTCTCCAGGCGAGGCTAGCAGCACCACGCCGCTCGATGCGTCTTCTGCACGCGCACACGAGCTTCATCCACTCGAACGCAAGGCGGAGGAAGCTGGCATGGTGTACAGAAAGCATCAGGGACACATTGGCTTGTTCGGATACGGCGCTGGGATGGGCATGGGCACCTTTGATGGAATTCGAGTTGCTGGTGGCGAGGTGAGTTGGAATACCGTGCGCCCCACCCTAGTCTTGCCAAAGAACCAGCCTGATGCACGCTCCGCCACCTCCGACCGATGTACAGCCGGCAAACTTTGTGAGTCGTGTGCTCGAGTTGCTGTGCTTTCGTCGTTGACTCCTGCGAATCCTCCTTGACCCTTGCTTGATGGTCTGCGCACAGTTCGACGGAGGCGGCGGCGCAAGCGCTGAAAATGCTCGGGCTGCCATGGAGATCCTGAGTATGGACCCCGATGTCCATGTCATCTTTGTTAACAGTGAGTGTCAGAGGCACTCTTCGCATATGCGGTGCGAGATTCTCAGCAGGCTTACGATTTCTTCATCCTGCTTGACCTGATCAGTTTTTGGCGGCATCACGCGAACAGACCTTGTTGCCGAGGGCATTATCCGCGCATACACTGAGCTGGGCCTGAAGCATATACCTCTGGTTGTGCGTTTCCGCGGCAACATGGCTGAAGAGGCCAAGCAAAAGCTTCGGGACGCGTCGGACAGTGTACCAGCCAAGCTGTTCGATGACTTTGCCCAGGCTGCGGAAGAAGCCGTCAATTTAGCTCGAAAAAGGCGTGAGCCTTCAGCATCGATCGCCAATGGCGCCGTAAACCAGCGGCGTTCGTTTTCAACGGCTGCAAGCGGTCTGGCTACAAGGACGTCTGGGCTGGCGCGCACACGCGCAATCGCTCAGCATCTGTGCGCGCCCCCTTTCTTGAGCGCCAGGCGGTCGTTCGCCACGTCAAGCACAGCCAAAGTCGAAACGCACCCTCGTGGAAGTTTTGAGTTCTTGACGGGATACGCTTTTGCGGGCAAGCCACGTGGTCCCTCGAGCAGCGAAGGGGAGGGCCAAGAGCAAGGTTCGGAATCCGGCGAGGCCGACAAGGCGGCAGCCGCATCTTCTGCATCCGCACCTCGGCTTCCTCAACAGGGATTTGTACCTGATTCAGATGTTGGTAGATGGAGAGATGCAATGTTGACAGGAGGGGAAGCCGGTGAAGATAGCTTGACTTGCTCAAATATGGGCTCCGAAGGTGGTACATCGGACTCTGGTGGCCTTGGTCTTGGCACTCGTGCTGGAGATGTTTTGCTCGGTGTTGCTGATGGTGTTGGTGGATGGTCAGAGAATGGCGTAGATCCTGCTCTCTTCAGGTGAGTATGCATCGTAGGCAGCGAGGGTCGTCGAATCGAAGCGCATATCCTATCCTGACATCTTTACCGTTCGGTCACAGCCAATCGTTGATGTATTACGCTACGCAATACGCCTCCGAGGTGTTGGCATGTCCCAACCGATCGCCGCACTCGGTGTCTTCCTCACCTAGTGAAAGTCAAAGTCAAAGTGGACCTTCCACGCCTGCCACCTCGCCAGGCTCAGACGGGGGACTAGGGCACGCCGGATCGCCCCTATCGATTCTTTCCCATGCATACTCCAAGACACTGAAGGACGCCCGCGTCCCTGCGGGCAGCTCGACAGCCACCATCGTGACGTTGGATTCTCATCGGGGTGTCCTTCGCGCGGCCAACCTGGGCGATTCAGGCTTTCTTGTGCTCAGATCATCCCCTGTCAGCAGCACGATCAAGGACGCTCCCGGACAGACAAGTATGCAGCAAGGTTCGCGGAAGCAATGGGGATCAGGAACGCCTGGTCTGCCAGTAGTCGATGGCGTGCTCTACGCTTCCGCTCCGCTGCAGCACGGCTTCAATACGCCGTACCAGCTCGCCAAGCTACCCCCCGCCTTGAGACAGGAAGGCTCCATCGACAGCTCTCCAAAAGATGCTTCGCTTGTAGAAGGCCAACTTCGAGGCGGAGATCTGATTCTGCTTGGCACTGATGGGTACTTCGACAACGTCTCGCTGGTCGAGACTGCTCAGCTCGTCAACTTTGTCCGCGACAAGCATCACCAGAGTTGGAGTGCCAGATATCCTCCACCCGGAACGATGGATCAAGCTAGCGCCGTTCCCGACAGTCAGGTCAAGTCTAGCAGCGCAGACACACCGCAAGACGAGCTCGCTGAGGAGAGGGAGATGGTACAGACGGTCGCACACAAGTCAGTACCAGCGCTGCAGACATGAAACTCGGTCGACGTTGCTTACTCCGCCACCCCCGATCTTTCGTCTCCAGTCTCGTGCAATTTGCGGTAAGCGGTAACCCGCAAAGCAGCCAGATTATGGTCGAGTGATACTGACTTTGAAATCACTACTTCACCCTTCAGATCATGTGCATGAATTCTACTCAAAAGCAATCCCCTTTCGAGCGTGAAGCAGCGAGGCACGGCATCCGGTATCCAGGCGGCAAAGTGGACGGTGAGTAATGCCAGGCGGGGTCGACCCCACACTAGTCGTATGACGGCCGAGTAAGCTCTGTCTCCTTGTCTGACTTTCGTCGCTGTCGTCCTGAAAACTGTCAGATGTCGCGCTTGTTGCTGCCCTCGTCGTAGAGCGCTGAACTGTTGGCGCCTAGCACTGTCGCATCCGTATCTTCAATCCTGCTCCTTTGCTCGGGCTTCAACACCTCTGGCTCCATCTTGCGCTGCCCGGGGCACTGATTACCAAGCAAAGGATGCCTCATCGGGCCGACCGGCTCACGCATTGGAGGGGCGTTGTTCGGGCAGTCGATGACCGCAGAGCCTATTCCATAGTGATTTATCCATGTACGATTGGAATTCGAGGAGTTGTCATGCTTCTTGATCAAAGAAGCCTTTCACCACGAACGCAGTTTGAAAAGACGTAGTCACTGGCTTTTGAAGATATCCATAGCGCTACGGTACCTCGATTGCTGCCCCTGCTCAAGATCGCTTGATCAAGCGGCACCCTTCGCAGTGAATCGGTGACGCACCATTCAGCAAGGACGCACGGTGCGCGCTCGCTCCATCTAGCCGCCACGCACGACCGACGCGTCTGTGAAGTGATGCTGCTGCGTATGCTGAGCCCCTGCAGCCTACCGCGGCAGTATGCACTGCCTGCTGACTTGCATGGGCTACATTACCCACAGCTGCTGCACTCACACTCGTGACTGCTCGCGTGCCCAAGCTGAGATGATGATGCGTCGTTCTGGCACGCAACCTGCGCTCCGCCTCCACCCTCGCCGTGCTCTTCACAACCACCTTTACACATCGCCTTCTCCCTTGAACAAGCTTGCTGCCTGCCTGCCTGCTCGCCCATTTATTGCTATTCAACGCACGTCCTCGTCTCTGTAAGCGCTCGCGCCAGCATCCTACGTGGTAGGCCCCTGGGCTGGGCAATCAAGCGTCGTCGTGCACACACGAGCCAGCATGCTCTCTCAACCTCGCAACCCTACCAGCAAGCTGGGCAATCCATTCGCAGCTTCGGGTAGCGGTGCTGCTAATGCATCATCGATCCCGAGCGCTACAAGCGGACGTGTGGACCCTTCTTCAAAGGGCGCAGCTAGCAGCGGAGAGGCTTCATCGACCGCAAGTCCCGTGCGAAAAGATGCGGCGAATGGCATTCATCCCATACTTGGGGCATCAATGGTGCGTAGAGGCTCAAGACTGATGAAAGGAAGGGACGATGAAGCAAGTCGTCGTCACCACAAGTCGTGTCACATGACGGCTTCATGCTGCGCTTGCTGCTCTTCGCCGAGAAGCCGCCGATGCTTGGGACTCTTCTTGCCCGCATCTGGGCTTGGCCCATCAGTGGACCCTCGACCGTGTCAAGCGTTGATTCGACACCTCAGCCCTGTAATACGCGTTGCGAGACAACCCGTCGGACACATCGATGCGGCTTCTTTGGAACGAGCTTGAGGACTTGAGGGCGCTTCCATGTCAGGGAGGCATGTCGAGAGTCCCTGACACTTGATATTAGAGTGTCGAGGTACTTGGTGCAAAAGCTACAGCATGGCAGCGCGGACGTTAAACGTGTGCTGGCTCGAAGCGTACACCTGTTCCACTCGTTCTATCATCGCAGGTCCGGATGTTGCTGATCAGCCAGTTTGTACGTACAGGCATCACACGTCGCCAAGAAGGAGCCCGGGACAAAGAAGCTTGCAGATCCCGCCCTCACGCCCGCTCATGCAGCCGCAGCGATGCATGCAGATGATGACAACGATGACGCCATGTCGACCATTTCGAAGCACACGCTCAAGACCTTGCCGGGCAGGCGAGACAATGCTGGAGACAGCGGCAGCGCTTTCAGCTTACCAGGAACGCCACTGGGAGAGGGCCAAGACGATAACGAGAGGCTCGCTCGCGATGCTGAATCGGCGGCTGCGGATGCGCTCAATAATGCTGAGCTTGCTCGGCAAAGAAGAAAGACGCTGCTGGAAGCAGGCTACAAGCTTTTCCTCTTGTTCGTCGTGTGCGCTGGCATACTCGCTGCCACGCTATACTTTGTGCTGCCAGAAATCGACGAGTGAGTCTACCAGACGCCTTGTTGAGAATCAGGCTCGTAGGGGCCGCCACATCTACTGATGTTTTCTTCCGCCTGCCTCTTGCAGTAACGACAGACAATACTTGCGCATACCACGATCCTTTGAGCAGCTCAAAGATCTCAATAGCGTCCTGCAGCGGTACAAAGATCGCAATTTTGCACGGGTTATGATCTGTTGGGTCGTGCTTTACATGTTTCTACAAGCATTCAGCATCCCTGGGTCCATGTACATGTCGATCCTGGCGGGCGCTATGTGGGGCGTCGCTCTGGCATTGCCCATCGTCTGCGCGAGCGTCGCTACTGGGGCTACGATCTGCTACTTGATATCCGCCTTTATGGGAGAAGCTGTACTGGGAGCGCTCCCAAAATGGAAAGCCAGAGTAGATGCGTGGAAGGACAAGATTCAAGCGCAGGACAATCTTCTCTCTTACCTCATCGTCATTCGCATGATGCCTTTGCCGCCGCACAACGTGGTCAACCTCTTGGCTCCTCACCTCGGCATCCAAGTGCCCCTCTTTTGGCTGAGCACCTTTTTCGGCATCTTTGCCGTCAGCGTAATTCACACCACAATTGGCGAAAAGCTGGATCAAATGACCAGCTCGGCAGATTTCAACCTCATCAGCGTCAGGAATGCGGTCCTCATGTGCATCGTCATCGCAGCCGCTTTGACGCCAATACTGGTCAAAAGGTACACTAGAGCTGGAGCTGCGCCTCTCGAAGAAGCGCCGGTGACACAAGGTCAGGTCAGACTTGAAGGCGAAGAGGGCGTCAGAGTCCATCCTGGTATCGCTAATGGATCCAACGGCAGAAATCGGGGCTTGCTGGGACGCACCGCCCTGGGTCGTTTCGACGCGGGACAAGATTCGGATGAATTGGATTCAGATGGCGAGGACGACGAGCTGCCCAGGGTAAGCCTCCGCGATGCTGTCCAGGGTCGTTCCTACCCGTCCAGACGCAACGCCAGAGCAGCAGCGGAGTCCAACGAAGCTCCCTGGCGAACGACGGAGAGAGATGTGGATGATGGCGCATACGCTTCGGAAGATGAGAACCGCTTTTCAAGGAATAGCAGCGGCGCTGCGTCACCCGCGCCAAGCTCAATTGACGAGCGAGCCACCATGTTCGATGATCGATTGGAAGAAGGACGTCTAAGTGGGCATGCGCACAATCAGTCTCCAAACGCACTCCCTAGACCTGCAGGCAAGGCTGCTAAGTTGCTAGGCTACCCTTCCAACCCTCAAACACCGGCCTCCGGAACAGCAGAATACGGAGCCACATCGCAGGGTATCGGTCAGCAAGCCAGAGATCTTTGGGGGAAGGTGACCGGTGGCAATGGTCGTTGATGTGACATCGTCTCTGTCACGATCAGCAGGCATGTCTCCCGTCTCCCCAACCTTGATCCTTCAGCACATTTGCAAATGGCCTCCATCGACTGTGTGACCCTCTTCATCCGATGAATTATGTAGGATAGCCAGAGATGTGAATGCAACACCGCTTCCTAAATGGCCTCCATCGACTGTGTGACCCTCTTCATCCGATCAATTATGTAGGATAGCCAGAGATGTGAATGCAACACCGCTTCCTAGTGGAATGCTTGCTTGCGAATCAATTGCAGTGGCATGATGTGTAGCATGGAGATGCGCACTCTTAAGGGAAAGGATCAGACACGGATGTTGCTATTTGCGCCATTGCTCCTACACCTTTTCCCGCCTGCTGGAGAAGACCAGCATAGCCTCGAAGGAGAGATGGCCGCCAATACGTATGTTTGTCGCGCGGAGCGCCATGTGATGGGCGATTTGGTGGGTCGACGAACCCCACAGCAATTCCACGCGTGTGACGTATTGATCTCTAGATTCGGGCTCGCAGGCTCATCTGCGAATGCTCGAGAGAATCGAATCTTGCCGAGGAGCCGGCTCAGCCCACGCTTCTGACGTCTCCTTTCTACTTGCGCTTGCCTGCGATTGACCACTCCGCAGTCCGAGCGATCGGACCCTTTCGCGAAGCATGTCCACAGTCCCTGAGCTGCTGAGTGCCTCAGACAATCGGAAGGCATGCGTCTCTATATACCACCAATTTCTGTTGCATTGTGTGCTTGGGAATTTGAAGGGACGCGTATTTATATACCACCGATTTTTAGTGCATTGTGTGCTTGGGTCGATATAGTCTAGTTGGGTTGGCCTCCTTCTTAAGATTTCTCCTTTGAGCGCAGTGTGCGTACGTTTGGATGCCGCCGGTAGAGTCGTTTCGAATCCCGTTGATGGTGCCTTACGGCCTCACTTTTGCTGCGCGCGAGAAGCGAACGCGACCGCTTACCCTTGCATCCGCGCTCACAAGCTCTACTGTTGTGCTGCATTTGGTATCTACAGTCGTGTGCGCCAAGCCTGATGAATCATCTGAGTGACCGCTAAAAAAAAGCGATTCTCGCTTGGTACGCTTTATGAATTTGCTTGTGCTTCCCAAGTGCGGTGGGTGGGGCGCATCACGTTCTCGTCTTCCACAACGCTGACGAGTGAAGACCAGTCATGCCGAGTGAGCTTCGAGTTGGACAGGCATGACCAGCGAAGCGAGGGAGCACTCAGCAAAAGTCCATCCGCCATGCACTCACTCATCTTGTTCCCTCTTTCGCCGTGCATTGCTCGAGTTGCTCGTCAGCCCGTTTTGCTTGGGGGCGAGCGAGCCTCGCGCTCGTATGAGGACCTCAAACTCCTTCATTTGATTGACGAAGCCCTGAAAGGCACGTACAAAGACGATCGAGAGTGTGGTCAGCGTCCAGGGAGAAGATTGAGCCTGCCTGACTGCCTGCCTGTCACTTGTCTCACGGGATTGATGTGCATACAATAACGTCTTGCAGACACGTGCGACATTGCCTCATCGTACCTCATGTTGCGCTTGTCGATCAGATACCTGACGCGTACCACAAGAGGTTGCGTTGAATTGCAGCTCAATTACAGGACAGACGACGTCGTGCTGTTACAGCACTCACATGATGGCCAGGGCAGGCGCTCGACTGATACCGCTGTCATCGTGCAAGAGCACTTTACCGCCCCGAGTGAGCTGATCGTCGATGAATGCCTGAGCTTGAGGATAACGCCTGATCAGGTTTTGAAATTCGTTGTCCTGCACGTCTTCCAAGATGAGGTAAGCGAATTGGTTGGGGAAGCGAGGTTTCAAGAATGGCGCTCTGGTGGTGTGATGCGACGTGACGGAGGCAGCAAAGAGACGTGTTTTGGGATGAATACGGCTTCTGGAGAAGCGACGAAGCATGCTCGGATCAAGGTGATTGTATCACCCGACCTTACTCACTCGTGCTTGCTCCTCACAATGATGATGGCAGTGATGCGTTCCATGTGCAGCCTCGCCAAGTCCTTTGAGGGTTCCGAAGGGCCGACGAAGAGACCAGGAGTGACTTGCTGCATCTCTCGCCTCATCTCATACTGCCACACGCCCGAGTCTGCCCTCAGATCGACATCCATCACGCCTTGCCGCTTCACTGCTCGCCAAGCATCGCTAGCTCTCGAGTTGCCTCTCCTTCGCTCGAGGCCCACGTATATGACGGCTGCTGCAGCTAGGTCCGTGAATGTATGCGCAAGGTCAAGGTACTTGATGCAAGCCTGACTGAAGGTCTGCAGCGAGCCAACGAAGGATGTGTTCGGTCCGGCCAGGATCGCGAGGCTCGCCGATGGGCAGTTGTGCTGGGACAGGTCAGCTGCGGGAGTGTGGTCGTTTCAGTGATGACGATCGAGCCCAGGAACTTACGCATCGACCATCAGTCAAACCAAGCCAAAAACACCCTTCTCACGACAGCGCCTCTGTGATGCCGTCGCGCACTCGCGCAGCGTACCACACAGCATCCCTGAGTCACGAGTGGCTGCAGGCGGCACAGCCACTTTGACTCGTGACTGCTGTGTCACTTATTGGGCAGCACGCCCACCGCGCCAACATCACCAGCTGCACCACACTCCTCACAACTACTGCTGAGTCGGTTCCCATGTTTGCAGCCCGCCCGGTCTGGATCAGTTGGGAGCTTCAACGAGCATGGACGTCGCTCGAAAAGGCAGGACAGCGCACTCCTACTTCATTACTTAACGCAACCAACTGCACAGCCGCACAAGACAGACGACTCATCACATAGATTCTTCTTTTATACAAGTACACTCGCAGCAAGGGTAAGCCAGTAACGACATCAACAAACTTCAACCAGCTGAATAAGGAGTAGGCAAGGTGCAGACGAGCGGATGACGAGCGGACATCGGCGATTGTAATGCTGCAGAGCGTGCCAAAAATCAGTAAAGTTTCGACGTGGGAGCGATGAGCTCCTACCGTGAAGAAAATCAGAACACCAGCATATCTGCAGGCACAGCACAGGCACTGTCCTGCAATCCGAGGACGTGCTCCCAGATCTCGACACGTAGGGAGCCAAGGATCTCTGCCTAGCTGTCGAAGCGGCCCTCGGCAGCGTCGCCATCCATCAAAGCGTTGAGGGCTTCCCTCGCATCAAGGTAGATGCTTTCCTCGCGCCCTTCCGTTCCCTCTCGGGCACCGGGAGCACGTTTCTGAGGCGTGTGGAGCGTGCTCTGCACCGCTCGAGGGGATAGACCTAGAGCGGACACCTCGCTACGTGGCAGCGTGGCCTCTTTCGGGAGAATTGGCGCTGAAGCTGCAGCAGATGCACTGAAGGAAGACGCGAATTGCTGCGATGCTTCGGCGGGCAAAGAAGCATCTTGATGTGCAGCGCCTAGTGCAAGAGCAAGGTTGTGCGCACTGGTGCCAGCTGCATCTGCCGGAGCAGCTGGCTCCGTGACCATGACGCCCACGGGCGAGTGTGGTGTAGAGCCAGCTTCTTGACCGTCGCTAGCAGGCGGTGCTGGAGCTGTAGCGAATGCGGGCGGTGCACCTTCATCCACGAGAGTAGCCTCGGCCTCAACACCGACCTCGGGAGGCTCTGGCTCGAAGAGCCATTCGTGGGTAGTGACGATAAGCTTCACGATGTGCGCTGCTTTGCCGATGTTGCCGAAACTCTGAGCAACGCTGGCGGGCCCAGGAGGAGGGTTGAGAAGTGATGTGCCGAAGACAAGCCCGATGTTGTGAGGTGCCATCAAATTGCGCTCGCCTTCCTCGCAAATTCTCGCCAAGTGTTCTGACATCCGGCGTAGGACTTCAAAGTGAGGCTGAGGGAATTCCCAAATGATGTCTCGTATTGCGTATAGTCGATCTTCATAATTTTCGACACGCTCCGCCTCTATCAACGCGTTGTAATGTTGAAAAGGCACCACAGGCTCTGGTAGATCTCTAAGCCACTGCTTGATGGCGCCGGCAATGGTGTGCACATCGCTGTACTCTCCAGTCGACAGCTCAATGGACTCTGCCGGCTGTTTGCTGAAGGCAATCTTGAGACCCTCTATGGCATTCTTCGCCCCAGAAATTCTGTAAATGCCTTGCTCCAAAAGTCCTGCGTAGTGGAGGAGCAAGAATAAGTTGCCACGCGCGCGTGATTCCGAGATTGTAGACGACTCACCTCTTGCTTCCACCTCCGCAAGCATGCGCTCTAGGCCAAGCGGCACACTGCGCTTGTCCCGCGCAGCAAGGGTCATCAGGTCGATGTTGTAGAGAGGCATGACTGCAAAGTCCGATGCACATCAAGCAAAGGTAAGTAGCGTCCCACGACAGACGGCAGGGCTTTCTCGTCTCACCTGCTTTTCCCCTAAGAGCGACGGACTTCGATGGATCGCCAGATCGTGGCGCTGCGTACTGACTGGCAGCTTTTTGAATCTCTCGCAGCCATTCAACGGCCTCCACCTGGGACGGAGCCTGTAGCACGTGATTGCCGCTCTCCGGACTGGTCAAGTGGAACACAAAGCTGCGCTGGTTATTACTCCACAGCGACGCTTGGGCCGATGCAGCCCCGATTATCACGGCGTGCTTCATTGTGGGCGTCAGTTCAAGCAGCTGTGCTGCCGTGCGTTGTGGTGTATCTGCTTTATCGGCAGACGGTCGGATAGCGCCCCTGAACAAAGCCGTCATTCGTCGAGCTCGCTTCTCTATGGGTGCTGTTGCAGTGGCTGACGCCGGTGGCCCACCGACATCCACCCCAGGCTGGGGAGTGTTGCCTACCGAAAGGCTTGGTCGCATGGGTGCAGCTTGAGGAGACGAGATTCGGACAGGCTCCTTGGCGACGTGCAGGAGGATTTCGTACGCCATGCGATCCCGCCGCTGCTTCTCTTGCTGTTCAGAAGTCAAAGCCCCAAGCGGCTTCGTCGGTTTGAACTTCGCAGGTAAAGCGGGCGCTCCGGCCGACTCTTGTGCGGCGTCATCCTTGAAAGCGCGTCGATCCCAACCGACTTTGCGCAACGCTGCTTGCATAGCATTCAGTCGCGCGCTGGCAATCTCGATTACCTTCGCCTCGATTTCTACGGGCCGGATCCGCAAGGATGACTCGATGAGATTGTAGATAGTCCGAGATTTGTCGAAATCCAACAGCGCGCTGTTGGCGTGGATGTGCTCAGATTGCCTGGTGACCGTTTCCGCGAGTGACTTGAGGATCCAGCCGACATCCGGGGTCGACTGCGCATTAGTCGCCCCGCTATACGCGCTGGCGACTCGAGCGGGAGGGAACAGCCCTTCAAAAGTCTCCCCTGTAGCTTCACGGGAGGCTGCAACACCGTGCCACGCGCGTTGGAAAATGCGGCTTTCCGAGGCTGTCAGCGCACCGACGATCACGCTCTCTACGAAAGATGTCACTGTCGTCTCCTTGAATGGACCAGGAGCAGCGATGGATGTGTTGGCTGTGTCCTCCGAGCGCACTCTGGACATGCGAGTGCGACAGATCCAGACAGCATCGAGAAGCTTCGCAAGTCGGCTCTGCCGCCGCTGCAGGCCTATGCGAGACTCGATGCTGCGGTAAGGAATGACTTTGGCGTCAGCTTTGATGACGCCTTTGGCAGAGGTATTTGCCACTCACATATGGATAGCGATCCAACCACGGAGCATGTTCTGAGCAGCGCAGGCATCGCGCAGGGCTGGTGGTAGAGTTTGATGTAATGAGGGCGAGTCCTTGCCTTCACCTGGAGCTCGCAGGAATTCCAGCAGCTTGTACATGTTGTTTGTCTGAGTCGAGTCGTCGGCGCCAGTCACAGGCGTCGCACTTCGCACATGCCAGCCCGTGGGAACGCTTGACTGCCTTTCAAACATCTCACTAGCCACCAGAAGATCTCGCTGCGTGATCTTGTCGAAGAATACCGCTGCAATGCTTTCGAGAAATCGCACGAGGTCGGGAGCGGACGTTCGGTCGAAGTCCAAGTCAGTGCCCATTGTATCCGTGTGGTTGGGGTTGGTGCTACCGTCAGAACCGCGTACAAGATTGAAATGCTCGGCGCCTGGCGGCAGGTCGGATGGCCGTGTGTTCGCACACATCGCGCTGGTCCGCAGCTTGAGAAGGAGATCGTCCACGACAGAGACAACAAGCCCATAATCAGGGTCATCTTCATGGCGCGGATTCAACCCTGGCGGCGATTTGGCGAAGTTGAGCGCTCCATCGAAAAGCTCTGCGTCGTCTGCAAAATCTTGCGGACATCGTTGTGCCCACTCGCGTAAGACCGTGATGACACCGAGGCGAATGCGACTGACGAATTCCCAGTCGATCGGTTCCATGCGACTCCCGACCGGGTCAGCCCTGGCCCACGAAGGGAACTGATTTGCACTGCGGTGCTGGGCCGGAAGAGCCATTTCTCTGCTAGCTTGAACTGCACCTGCAAAGCGTTTTGCCAAGTAGTCGAAGAGCACGATTGGAGTACAGAGACGCCTATATGTGGTCAAGAAAACTGCTCTGAAGTGTGGCAGGTCCATGGAAAGGCGCCATCTGCGTTGATTAGACAAAGGCGTCTCGCCTTGATCATCCGATGAAGGAAGCACTGTGACATGCTGAACACCCAGAACAAGCACGTCCACGAGGCGCTCAAGTGTTGCTGCACTGATCACTACGCTCACCGGCGTGCTTGGAGCTTCCACGACGGAGCTACGATTTGACGCTGGCAAGCTTGATCGTTTGGACACCTGCGATAGCGGCCGCGTGGCGTTGCCCATCTCTTGGGAGAAGCGCTTGCTAGTCATCGGCGTACCAGGGGCGCTCGTCGTGCCAGCTTCCGCGACGACTGTCACGACCAACTCAGCACCAATCTTGAAGACAGTTGGCTCCCCGCCCAACGATCCACGTCGATTACTATCCCACTCCGCTATGCCAGAGAAGGGCACACTTTTGGCGTTTGAGCGGCTCGTCGGCGGGAAAGTGCGGGAGCGAAGGAGTGGTGAGCCGGCAAGCGTGGGTCGAGCACCTTTGTGCGCTCTGACCGTGGCCTCGTTGTCCTCGGCTTGTATGGACTTTAGGCGCCTGGAATTTGCGGAGCTTGTGCTGCTGGTGCCCAGCTGGGAAGGCCCGGTAATCAGGTTGATGACTCTGTCCCGGTCCAACAAAGTCAGTGTGGGAAGCGTCTCGGTAAAGAGGAGTGGTGCTAGCGCACACGCCACTGTGACTTCGGTCATAGGGGCGTGCCACCTGTGGTCCACACGACCCAAGGAGCGTGGCTCCGTAGCTAGTGAGAGGGACATGTAGCGCGAAAGGCCAAGCTCCTCTGTCGACTGCGTCGACTGACTCCACTCGCCCTTGGAGCTGAGCTCGAGTAAGCTCAAAAAGGCGCGCTGCTGCTCCGGAATAGCAGGCGCAACTCCTGGGTACGTCCTTGCGCTTGTGCGCTCCTGTTCGGGAGGTCCATACTGCTTCAGCCATGTCTCTCCCAGTGCAAGTGACCTCCGTGCAGCCTGGAGCGAAGAAACGACATCTAGCTGATTTGCCAGGGGTGCCGCATGGCCCTGTTGGTCGTCAGAATGGTCGACAAATACATTGCCGAGAAATGGCAACGTCTCGACGCGCTTGCCATTGTTACCTTCGACGACATCGAGTGAATCTACCGATCCACTCGCTGCTGATGCCGATGACACGTTGATGATGAGAGGCGCTATCTGGCAGTCGGATCCTTCGTTACCATCGGTCCATCCCAGTTTGGCCAATTGTGGTGCCCAGGTCTTTGAGACAATGATCCTGTCATTGGAAGCAACATAGCGCCAAGTTTGGTCCAGCCTGGAAACAGGGCGAGAGCAAAGGGCAGCGGTGACAGCAGCCCAGCCGACCAAATCACCAAAGGTAAGGAGGTAGGACGCGATAGCAATCCAGTGCCGCATGATCGCAGCGCGGTGACGAGCGGTATTGCCGGACTCAGGTCGACGAGCGGTAGACTGCGGGCCCGTTTCGATAGCTTCATCGAAGAGTTGGTCCATGACGAGACGGGTGATGAAATGTGGACGTGAAGCGTCGAAGCTTAGGAGCCCAGAATTGAGGGCATTGGATCTAGAGAACAAGCGGCCTACGGATAAAGTGGGCGCCAAGAAAGACCTCAAGCGGTCAGCATGGAAGATTTGTAGCTGCTGTGCGATTTCTGGTGGTTCGAGATTCAAAAAGCTGGAGGGGCTCAGCTTGTGCCGAACAATGTCATGCAGATGATCTCTAGAAGCGCGTCCTCTAATTGCCTCGATCCAGTCTGGAGCCTTCGGTACGCCATGGTGCTGCTCATCGGCATCTTGCAGCAGGACGCTGAGGACGCCGTGTCGGGCCTTCTCGGCTTCTGCTCCAGAAGAAGTCATGTCGACGAGCGCTTGAAGTACCTCGGCAGCTCCGCGGCGGTCGTTGTCGTCTGACGCATAGTCAAGCGGCCGCGACATAGCCACAGCAGCTAGCCTCTCGCGGACCTCGGCTTTGAATTTGAGGACGACGGGTGAGCTTGCGTCAGTGATCAATGAGCCAGCGAGCTCATCTTCTACACCCAAGGAGAGGGCTTCAACAGCCCACTTCTGCACGGCGACCAGTACTTTTTGGATGGGCCGTCCAGATCTGGCTGTCGCAATCAGAAGGCTCAAGACGTATGTCTCAACCTCATCGCTACGCTCAGTACCATCCTTGGGCATAGCAGTAGCCGCGGTAGCACTCGAAGATCCAACAGAGAGCTGCGTGGCGAAGACGAGCTCGTGCGCGAGGCTTTCCATCGGACTAGCGACGATGCGCTCGATCCAGCTCGCTGGCGGTGTGACTGTCTCGGCAAGAGAGAGGCCTGGATGTCTGCCAGGCGCGGCCCATGGGGAGCTCGCTTGCATTGCAGGCGGCTCTCGCGCTTCTGAAGCTGTGGTCGTGGCGGTGTTCGGTAGGGCACCAGCACCACTGTCTCCACGTTTAGTGGCCGGCCGGGCAGGTGAAGTGCGTGGCGCACCTCCGGATCTTCCCTGTGAGCTTGCAGTAGCTGCCAACAATTCCTGTTGAGCCAGCGCCTTCTTGATCGCATCCAAGTCAACAGGTGCAGTTGTCCCTGCGATAGGCCTGACGAGGGACGTGGGAAAAAGAGCTTTGACTTCATCTGAGATGCTGCTGGGAGGCTTGAAGAAGTATAGGCGTCCTTCTCTCAGGATGACTTTGTAAGGCTTCCAGCCCTTACTCAGGTCCTTCTCGCGCTCTCTGCCCTTGTCGCCGCCCTCCTGCAATTGCGAAAGTGGCAACGAGATGTTGGCATTACGATTCAGGAAACCTTGATACGTAGCTCCGGACGGCAGAGACGTGCCGTGCGAGGCGTCATCTTGAGGACGGGAAACGAAGGGCAGCCCCATTGCAGTGCCTGCTTCCCGCAGAGCGCCTTGCTTGGATCCCTTCCGAGTGTGCTTGTTCGGTGTGGAAGCCAAATGTTGGGGTGGAATGGGGGGAACTTGGGGCCAGGTCGAGCTCTGGGGCGCAGAACTGAAAGGGATATGGGCGCCGCCTCCAAGCGCCGGACTTTGACTCAGGTAGCCCTGAGAAGGACTCGCAATGGTCTGTGGGGTTTGCTGTGAGACCGGCACGTGCGGAGACCCCCCGCTACTATTTGCAGTCCACCGTTGCAGCTGTTGTGCTTGATTGCCTACTGCGCTTCGACTGGAAATAGCACCAACTTCACTTGGGCGTCCCCAGTCAGCGGCAGGCACCCCATGTTCGCCCCAAGTCGCGTCAGTTCTGTGCTGCTGCGATTGGTGCTGGCGCACAGCAGCGGCTTTGCCCGCGCTGCCAGTCGTTGCAGCAGTCAAAGGCGGTGATGCAGCGTGGTTGAGGTCGTCTACGCTGCGTGAGTAGCCGATGTTGGGGCTGGGCGAGCGGAGGTGCTGAGGATCGTCGCTAGCGAGGAATTTGACCGGGAGGTTCGACGCCGCTGTCTGACCGAAAGGCCTCGGCAGCTCCGCATTGCCTATAGTCGGCGAAGAGAACTCGTGACGGTGCGACAAATCGGACTGACTGCGACTGAATTGAGCATAGCCCAGCCCAGGGGCGCCCGAGTTGCCATTGCTGCCGAGAGAGTCTTGTCGCAGATTTGCTCCCCTGCTTAGAGGGCTGTGGGCGTAGCCGCCTCGGGAAGCGTTAGAGCCTGCGCTCGGGGGATTGATGGCCAGAGTCGGAGAATTCTTCGTCACGCTTGCGTTTGAAGTCTTCCGATCTCTGTGCCCTCCAAAGAAGCTCCGCTTGGTAGGACTTGACACTGTGATGGCATCCTCAGCTCCAAAACTGGGCCGATTGGTGTTGGGATAGCGGCCAAAGTCCGTGACGGACCCGCCGCGCTCGATGGCGAAGTTCTGATACACGCCGCTAGAGCCACCCGCAGCGCTTCCAATGGCGATCCCACTGGGTGAGCTGTTGCCACCCCCACCACCACCACCTGCTGAAGCCCCGCTACTCGAGCCGGAAGCTACCCGGGATCGGCTTGCTCCTTGAAAGACGCCGGGATGCATGTTGGATGGCAACGAAGCATGCTCGGATCCCTCCTCGAACACGGGCTGAGACGCGAGCGACGACATTGAGACCGAGGCATTGATAGCTCCATGTCCACCTCCACCAGATGCGTACAGGCCATGCTGATTGCCCAAAGAGATGCCTGGATGATTTGTAGTGCCGCCAGAGGTGAACGTGCCCTTTGCCTTGGAGATCAAGAAATTGAAAGCAGATTGACTGCGACCTATCCCCGACTGCGATTGACTCTGCTGAGCTTGAGTTTGTGCAGAGGGCGGAATCGCCGAGTTGGTGGATGCACTAGGTGCCCCATTGCCGGGAGGTGGCATGATTGACCGCTATCAGACAGAGCACAGCGTAAGAGATGACAGCGGTAGCGGTGTCGTCTAGCTCCCAGAAGCGTGGATGTGCGTGGAGCTTGAACGCGACCAGCGACCCGAAGCGGAAATGGCGGCGAAGATGTCGGCAGTTCCAAGAATGTTCAGCTAGTGGTCCACTTGCACCGAGCATGAGTTGTGGGAGTGTGTGAGTCGATTGCGTCGTCGGGACGGAGCAGTCCAAATCTACTGCTGGTGATGATCAGTGAAGGCAGGTATGTACCACATGCATTCATGCGACCCATGCGCCGCACCCGGCCAAGCAACAGCAGACCTGCTTCGCCAAGCTCAGTTACACCAAAGCTGTCTGACTTGACGTATGAAAGGCAGGTGTGGTCGGAGCACACGTGCGGAAGAGATCGGGCGGTCAGAATCCCACGTCCAAGCTGTTCCCTACAGCAGTTCAACGTGCTCACCTTTCACAGCCCTGAGAAGACTGTAGCAAATACCTGGTGCACAGCGGGCCTGCAATCTCAGATCGAAGGCTCTAAGGCTTAGCTGCGTTGAGCTTGGACGAGGTTCTCAGGTCGTGAGTTGTGTGGTATGGGTCCAGTCGCGACTCGAAAGTTGCGGGAGTGAGGGAGAATGGATTGCTTCGGGTCGCATGCTGGTGATTGCGCTGCGATTGATGCTGTTGGACTCGCGGGCCGCGTTTCTTGTTTATTGGTACATATGCACCACCACCCACGCAGACGGCAGCAGCAATTGAGGCACTTGGTACATTCACGTTTGATTTTGGTGTGCGCCCGCGCGTATGGCATGCATCACTCGCACACGCGGCGTCAGTCGTTTCGTGAGCCGTGATCAGCAGTCTTGTCTCGCGCTAGCTCGATCGTGATTGTGCGCTGCTGCTGGCGGTATGTATCTGCACGCAGTATGCAGACGGGCGCCATGCATGCCACGCACCCGTCGACTGCATCATAATAAGAAAAGTGATGCCCATCAAACCCGCCATCGCGCGTGGAGACTATCAAGGACAATTTTGAATATACGACAGCTTGCACAATCAAGGTTGGAATTCAAACGCGTGATGTGTGAAATGGATTCAAGATTCTCGATTCCACTCATTTCTTGACTGTGCTGTTTCAGCTTAAGCTACGCAGACGTGGTTTTTAGATTCCGACAAAGGCATGCAGCAGCGGGCCGCTGCAGCTTATGCTCCCTATATGCATGCATGCACCTCATCGTTCCCTCCTCTTGGCTTGTTCGCACACCAGGGTGGTACCTATATATACACTCACTACCACCGAGACGACCGACAGCCAAATGACTACAAGCGACTGATGGAGTGGCAGCTGATCGTGCGCGCTCTCACAAGGCTATTCTTGATCGTCCACTTGGGACACACGGAGGCAAGGGGCGCACTCCCCATTCAAGGTCCCAACAAGCATGTACAGCGCGCACCTCGACGTCGAGTCACTCGATCGAGAAGGAGTTACAACAATTTTGAGCGCAGATGCGCAACCACGACTCAGACTTGTTCGAGACTCACCACAGTGCGCTGCAGCGCGCGTACGCTTGAGTGTACCGTGTGGGTATAGGTTGGAGTTGCAGAAATCATCGTAGGTCGTTCGCGTGCGTACGCTGCTGCATCGCTCTCCCAACAGTGCCCACGGCTGCTGATGACAATATCGAGACTCAAGAACAAGCTCAGAGGAGATTGAGGTGGTAAGAAGTCCTCGTGTTCATTTGCCGTGCGGCCGGGAAAGAGTGAAGACGTTGATATACAGAGAATCGGTTGGCAGTCAAAGTACAACAATAAAGCTTGGCTAGGCGCTCTGAACTTGGACGCGCTAGAGCAGAGCGATCGGAAGCAAGATGGCGGCGTAGCGACGGCCCATCCTTGTTGGTGCAGCGGAGCTTGTAGTAATCAAGTTGTGGAATTGGCAGACGCACCAAGATGCACGTCCACGCTGTGAGCCAATCGCGACGTTTGGCGAGTCACTCTTCCTATACGCAGGCTCTCTTGCGGCCTTGGTCCTTGGTCCAAAAGTTCTTGAGGTTTCCAAGGGGCAGGCGCAACGGCGCTCCGCCATGAGAGAGCAAGAGGGCAGCGACCATGTACCAACTGAGCATGCAAATGATGAAGCCAAAACACCCAGCTGCTGTCGCCATATTCTCAGTGGCTGCCTGAGAGAGCGAGCTGAGGAAGAGGATGGAGAGGCAAAGGAAGAAGGGCACTAGAAAGGTGCAGATGCTGCAGAACACGATGTTGGTGCGAAGAGTGGCCACGGCAAAGATGACGCACAAAAGAGTGTAGGTCATCTGGGCAAGTATCGGATCGACGACAGTCAGTATGGGTCCGTCAATCACGACATGCGCGTATCCTTGACACGTTGCTCACCTGCCAGAGGCCCAGAGCCTGATTGAGCTGGACAGCACCGGGTTGTCCAGCGAGCGTCTGTCTTGACGCTGTCATGATCACACCAAAGTCGGCACGGTAGATGGCAGAGAGGCCGAACCAGTACGTCGCAAAGGCGCCGAAAAAGGCAAAGGCGATGGAATCACCTCGAAGGATCTCCAGCACGGCTGTGAGGGCCATCATACCGCCTCCCCCGAAGAGAAAGACGCCTAGATCGCCCCAGAGAGTGGTCAAGCTGGAAACGCCAAGTCCGACGAGGCCAAAGGACATGATGCTGAGACAGACAGCAAAAGAGAGGAAGCCCAGGGCTGTTGGGGCTCCCAGCTTTGATTGCTGTGCTGGTCGTTGTACAACCGCTGCAACCGTGCGCAGATCTCGAAGACGACCGTGTGGCGAGCTGGGCAGATTCAAGCCGTCATCCTTACCCGTCAAATGTGCGTCGACGAGTGTCTCGCTGGTCGACCCGCGACTCTCTGCCATTGTGGTCTGCTTTTGAGGACTTTTGCAAGTGTTGAGTGAGTGCTTGTAGCCTATGGGGAGCAGCTAATTGCCGAACTTTGCTAGCAGTCGACAGACGTGGACGCGAGGCAAGGGCTGAGATACAAAGACGTGGCAGAAAATGCTTATAGTGTGCTCTGTGAGATGAAGGAGCGCATCGCCAAAGGAGGGAGTCCATCGTGAGCTGCCCTTCTTGTACTCGCAGACAGACCAAAGAGTCGCCTCATTTCCTTTGGCCCTGGGTAAATTGCTCGTGCGGGTAGTGTGCCCCGTGCAAAATTACTACGCTCGTTCTCTCACCTTTTTGGCCCCAAATTCAGACTGATGAAGGGCTCATTCCATTGACTGCTGCGTATCGGTATATGTCACGCGCGCGCCATGGCGCACGGGGCACTGGACGCCTGCACGCCACCTTGCCACCTTGCCACCGCGGCGCCGCCGCCTTCGCCTTCACCCCCCTCTTTTGCTATCTTGCATCAGCGGGCAAGAGGCTGTTTGCTGGCATCATCAAGCATGGTGGCGAGGCCTGCAGCTCACGACTCTCCCCCAGCGTATACTACGTGCGCCACGATTGCGTGGTTAAGATTGAGACCGAGCTCCGGCACCCAGCGACGGGGATGCCATAGCTCGCCACGCGCCTCTTGGCTATGGCCAAGCATATCCTCGTAAGTTATTATGCCGGAGCCTGTACACCTTCCTACAAGCCGCCAGGAGCGCGCATGAAATGACGCTGATGTGAGAGACGCACTGTTTCGCAACTATAGGTGCGGTCCGTAGTAGTGAGCAAGAATGGTGGAATAGCCAAGGGTTAGCGCTTCGCGGGAGGTCACGTCACATTGCCAAGCCAGCTGGTGCAAGCTGCGTGTTCAGTAGGTAGCGCGCACCCAGCCCCAGATGGCGACCGTGCTCGGCATCGCATCCAGGTCAATAGTTTCATCGTCACGGAAAAGCTCCGTCACCTTGACAGAAACCTTACCAGCAGAGAGACCGCTTCGCATACTTGCAGGCGTCTGTATGCGAACATCCATAGCATTGCCGCACCTTGATCCTTGTGTAATGAGAGGCGCGGACCGCCAACAGATTTTAGGCACTTCTTTGTAAAGCGCTGGCTGAACCGTGATGCGTTTCGAGATGGCCGTTCATTCGACGTGCAGCTCGACGGGGATGTTACCACGGGTTGCCTTGGAGTATCTGTGAGAATCCAGTTCAGCCAAGGTATAGAGACCCCCAGATGTCAGCGCTTGCATGCTTGCCTCGTGAACGGTAGTCACAGGCTTGCTTCAGTGAGGCAGGAGGCAGCCAAGTCACGCCTCGCATCGCCTTGTGGGAAACCTCGCGCCGGACGCCCGAGGCGCTGTTGATAGTCAAGGTTGCTCTTGCTCCGGCCAAGCAAAGGAACAACATGGCCGCATGTACGCTTCGATCGGGCGTGCAAGGTTGATGACTCACGGGCAGACTTGATGAGCGCCTTCGAGAAGCTTCTTGAGCTCCGACTTGTCCGCCTTGCCGCTCTTGGCCTTGATCTGGACTGCCAGCCCGAAGCTGGTATCATCCTTTGCGATTGTCACTTGTGTAGTGATGGCAAGATCATCCGGCACGCTGAGCTTGTTGGTTCGGCCGTAAAGTTGTAGGGCGGAGAGAAAGCAGGCCGAGTAGCTAGGATCACACAGAGAGAAGCAGGGTGCGGGTGTACGAGACAAGCTTAGCCTTCGAGTTTCCCACTTTTCGGTTTGTATGTGTGCATGCCAGCGCAGCAATCTCGACTGTATGGGGATGAACCAATCGCATGTGCGCATGAGTACTCACCCAAGAGCAAACAGCTGTTCAGGGTTGTTGCCATCGCCTTGCCCGCCGAGCTCCTTGGGCATCGCCAGCTTGACGCTCGAGATACTGCCAGCACCAGCATCTATGAGCTCCGTCTTTCCGTTTCTGCCTGCGCCGCTCGCCTTTGCAGCCGTGGTGTACTTGGGGTCGAGAGCTGGCAAGGAAGAGGAGAATGCGCGCAGTCCAGCGTGGATGGGGGTTTGACGCGCGCTTGCACGAGCACCCGATGCTTTAACGGCGAGAGCGGGGCGGCTCAGCAGACGGAGAGCTTGAGCAGAAGACATGGTGGGCAGGTAAGTGGTCTGGTGTGCGGGCAAAGGGAAGGAGGTTCAGACTGATACGAGCTGGGCTGCTCTGGGTTCCGCCGTAAGATGTTGGTGGTACTGTAGAAAGTCACGATTGGCGGGGCTTATGCGCCGACGCTTTGAGCGTGGCAGATGAGACTCAGCAGCCTTGCTTCTTACTGACCCCTTAGCTGCGGTACCCTCGCACTACACCACACTACTTACTACCAACGATCTATCACTCGTGACTACTACTCACGACTGTGACTGTGACTGTGACTGTAGGCACAACCCTGAACCTTGCTACCACGCATACTCTCAACTGCTGCATAGTGATACCAACAATGCGTGCAACTCAATCCGCCTACCGCGGCGGCCAGCACCAGCTGCTGTTCAGCCACGCATGCAAGCAAGCATGCATACGCACAATCATCAGCAATGTGAATTAGGCCAAAGGCATGCATGCAGCAGGCATGCGCAGAGCAACCATCAGCAGCAAGTGGAGGTGCCACGCAGAGCATGGCGGCACGGCTTCCTCTTAGCCCTCGCTCGCTTCGCTGCATGCTGGGGGGCCCGCCGCACAGATTCGTGATTCACATTGCTGAGGCGCAAGGTCGAGTTGGGTCACGCCATCTTCGCAAGAACCGCAATACGTGCCGTGCACTCACTTGAACGCGTACCCACGGGTCGAAAGGATGTGAAGAGGTCGATCCTGGCGCAACATAAAGCGCACCAAGCGCACCAAGCGGTTCATGTTTCACGAGTTCCTACCTGGCCGAGGCCCTGAGAATGCCTTTGCTGGGAAACACAAGTCACAGCAACACTCTTGACTGGTCACTGCCGTAGACGATTTCAATCAACACCCCAGGCACGTGCGAAGCCCTTCTGGACTGGCTCAACCCACCAATCCTCTCGAGTGTTATTGCTACCTGCTCCCCACACTCAACTCGAGACTTGGACGAATGACACCGATGGGGAGATGTGAATTTTCTCGTAATTGCAAGAGGATCAAGAGAAGGTAGATCGGTAAATTGTGCATGAGCTCGGGTGGCCCGGAGGTGCAGGCGGACAAAGAGCGAGTACAGACGTGATTTTGGGACAAGCATGGTGTTACCACCTCAGGGTATGCGCCAAGCAAGTTGACAGGATACGCAGGATCAGGTAGCCTCACCGCACCAAGTCTGTGCGGAAACGCGGCTCAAATCTCGAGCGGCTCGTGCGACTGAACATCATCCCTGCTCAAGCCTGCATGCGTTCCATAGTCCTCCGCGGAGTGGGTGATGGTGGGCAAATAGGCAGCATCCGCCTCTGCTGCTGCAGCTGCCGCAGCGACCTGTGCACCGGAGCTCGCTCCCAGCGTGACTCTTGCGCGGGGTGCGAAGTTTTTGGCTTCGTGAGAGCCCGGTGTAGGCGGGCCTCGAGGTTGACGAATGCTTCCGCCAAATCCTCCAGAGGGTGAAGAAGCATGGCCGCTGCCGTGATAACCTCCCGAAGAAGTGGCGGGAAGGCTAGGAACAGGTGGAACGTCGAACGGAGAATTGAAAAGATTCGCGAGACCTGCTGCTCCACCCGTACCGCTGCCAATCGTGCCTACTTGATTCGAATGGTTCGAACGAGGTGAGCGGCCCATGGTGGCTGCGTATCCCTCTCTCAAATTTCCATTGCTCTTGCGAGCGAGCGCCCCAACCCCAGGCGGTGCTAGACCTGCACCTTGGCCGTATCCACCACCGATGCCTCCGTAGCCACTTCCGTTCTCCGGATCACGCAAGCGCTTCATATCTGGAGCAGACTTCTTTGCTCGGAGGGCAGCTGCACGTCCAGTCGTAGCGGCACCGCTGGGCGAGAGCAATCCAGACGCATCGCCAAACCCACCCGCGGGAGCTCCGAGCCCACCTCTGTGCGTGCGACCGATGGTTGAAGCCTGGGATCGCAGTGGCCTATGACCCTGCGCTACCTCGTTCTTGGTGACAATCACGTATCGCTCCTCGCCTTCGCCCATGCTGTAATGGTACAGGCCAAGCCTTTGCGCGACCAGGTGCACAGTCCTGCGTTCCGAAGGGCTCAAGTTTCGAGAAAAGCTGAGTTCGTCTCGCATCCGGTCGTCTTTGAATAGGAGGACGCGCGAGTATATCTCGAGTGTTGCTGGATCATTTAAATCTAGCTCCTCCTTGGTTCGCGCACTAGCGCCGCCACTGCGTTCCGAAGGTGCCAAAGCGCCGGTGTCGGCACCCAGTCCTGCAGAGGGTATTCCTCGCAAGCTATCTGCAGTGAGTGGAAGCGGCGAGACCTGGCCAGCACCGCCAGCAGATGTTGGCGGATGTGCTTCCGTTGTTGGGCTAGTCAAATTCGAGCCGGCACCGCTGAGGTGTGTGCTGCGACCGATGGAACCAGAAGATGGCTGGGGCAGACCCGAGATGCCGGATGGTGCGCCTGCGTACGATTCAAAGCCTTGCGCTGGCAATCCGGGCAAGCCGTGTTGAGAGGCTTCCCACTCGTCCCTGTGACGAGTTCGCTCTTTTTCCAATTGCATCGACTGCATCCGCTTGATTGCCTTTTCCTTTTCGATTCTTTCCTTTTCGCCAGCCTGCAGCACCTTTTTGTATTCTACCCGCAGCTTGCGACCTTGCACGTCGAATCCGTTTAGAGCAGCCACGACCGCATCCGCCTCTTCTCCAGAGCGAAAATTGGCAAACGCCAGACCTCGGAACATGCCCCCGTCGAAATGGTAATTGAAGGCATAAGGCATGGGGATGGCCAGGTCTTCCTGCAGAATGATTCGAAGTGCCTCGTGGCGTCAGCATCAATCCACCTCAAGAGCAAGCAACGTGAGGGAACTCGTGTGGTGGCCAAGGACGGATGCCAGTTTGCGAATGTATACAGGAGATCCTCCACAGCAATACTCACAATGATTTGAAGGAGCTGCTCTTTGGGTACGCTAAATGGGATGTTCTTGACGACGATAGCAGTCGGTATGATATCCTCCTCTATGTTGAAGCCTGGTGCGGAATTCAAGAAAGCGCTTCCGCCAGACTGAGGCGTGAGGGGCACGCCGGCTGTTGCGTTGAGCGCTGGGTCAGGTGAGGACCACTGCGCGGGGAGTCCGCTTCTTCCAGTGGAGCCCCTGCCAGCATTTTGAGAACCGAATCGGCCGCTCCCTCCTGCGCCTCCGCCCGAAAGAGAGTGACCAAATGCGCCAAAAGCGCCGCCGGTATTGGAGAAGCCAGAGCCTGGTCCGGCTTGTGGGCTTGTGCTGTTCGTGGCTGGAAAAGCTCCTTCAGGACCTGCATTAGCAAAGAAGCGCTCGAACCTAGCGGATGCGCTCTGAGGCTCGTTGGGATTGACGGCACCGGCAAAGCCGCTCGTCGGGGCGTAACCCTGCTGAGCTGAAGAGTGTAGGCTGCGATAAGGCGAAGCTGGTGCAGCTGAGGGCGATGCTGGATAGGCTGAGCCGGAATGGGAAACGTTGGCACCTACTACACCTGCTTGACCCGTCTGAAGCGAGAGGTGATCGAATTGGCGGTCGAGATCCGACATGGTGGGAAGAGATGTAAGCGCACAGATCTGGAGGAAGAAATGCTCGCTATGAAGCGCTTAGGAAGATGATGCCAGGCCCGAGAAGATCAAAAACCGAGGCCACAGGAAGTCAAGCGGCAGTCTGAAGATGCAACCGTGCGGATGGGTCAGTACAGAGCGCGACCTTCTTTTGGTGTTCGTAGCGTTCGTCGAGGATGTAGCGGGCAAGATGCTGGCCAACGCCGCGCGTGAACGTTGCTCGCGAGGCGTTAGTATGTAAATGTGAAATGTTTGAGCGTCGTTAGCAGAGCGATGACGATGAACGCAAAGCGTGGGGGGATCGGTGAGACGGCGTTAGGCGTGCAAGCTGATGTCGTATTGGCTTGCGAGATCGTGATGGCGAGCGAGTGAAGGAAAACAGCGCGGACTGGATTAGCAGAGCAGCCAGTGGGGGCGCTCGCTACCGATGTCAGTAGAAGAAAAATTGAGAAGGAAAGCCCGCCTTGTGGAGACGCGGTGCGATGCTGGTCAGGACGCAAAAGAGACGCAGCAACAAAGCGTCGTTTGGCTGACAGTCACGAGAGGTTGCCGCAAACGATGTTCTGCGTTGCGGTGCCGTGCGGTGCAATGGGTCGTAGGTCGTAGGTAATTGGCCGCGCGAACTTCAGCCAGTGGGAGTCACGAGTTCAAGTGCGCATGGCGCATATGTTGGTGGTGCGCGCTAGCTGCTGCTTGCTACCTTTGGTCGAAGTAGTAATGGTGATATGTAGTAGTAATTAGTATCAGTATTAGTAACGGTAGAGTAGTAGTAGTAGTGCTCCTGCTTGGGCCTGAATGCAGCCAGCATGCACCACCTTTTGGCGGTTATACGCGCACGTACAAGGGTAACCGTACGCCATAGCTGTGTGTACGCACTCGTGACCGCTGAGAATGCACCTGCAGAAGCAAAAAGCGTCCCACGCTGATGCCAGCAGCTGAGCACTCTTGAAGGCGAGGCAGGCAGGCAGGCAGGCATGCAGGCATGCAGGCAGCAGCTGAGGCCTATACACCTGATGTGCCAGCACGTACGCAATGATCTCCTGTAGCCTGTACCCTGCCCTGGCGCAAGGGCGCGCCTATGCACGCGTACCGCGGCATATACAGTACTTGTTGAATGTGAATGTGCGCGCTGGCACCTGCATGCGCCCATCACTGCAGCAGTCGAGTGAGTATATAGGTACTCACACTGAGGTGATCCTGCGGCATAGCCTGTACGTTCGCCCCACGCCGGCCCGCGGTCAGCAACAGCGGCAACAACGGCAACATCAGCACGATCCACCATCATCCACTCGTCCATGCAGGCACGCATCGGTGCGCCCAGCACCACTGCTTGGACTCGCGAAAGGCGCGTGTGTTATGTTCACCGCGTAAAGTCCGTAAAGTCTCAGCTGGTGCCGAGTCCAAGCGAGCACAAGCGTCCCACCCGCTGACAAGTAAAGCTGAGCTGTGCTGAATGACTATAAAGTCACGAGTGACGAGCGCAAGAATTATTGGGGATGTTGTACATTATTCAGAGTGATCGTGATGTCAGATGTGTATATAGGTATATGTCGGACAGTCGCGGTGGCGTGTTGTGTCTCACGAGCGCCATTTAGTGAGTCTGTCATCAATGTTTCACAAGCACGATCGTTCGCGCACACCGATGCCGTACATATATATATATATGTGCCAGCTGAAGCAGCACGATTACCAAGGCTCCAAATCGCGCTCAAGGCGCGGACGGGGCGTATCGTCTCGCGTCGTCCACACATCTTACAGTTACATAGATCACAACCATTCTTGATGTCGTCAACGAAGGCCCCATCAAGCACGCATGCGGGCAAGATTTCGTGGCGACAGAAATTGCGTCGTGACATGTTGCATGTGAATTTGACACACTCTCGGGAAAGTCTGGGCAGTCTTGTATGGAAGAGAAATTTACAAACTCTTTAGGACAGCCAAAGGGGCTCCAATTTGGAAAGGGACGGAGCGCGAGGCCAGTATGAGAGGAATGCGATGAGGAAAGAAGGCCGCAAGAAGTAATGGACGGGACGATGTGGCATTCGAGAAGCACACGAAGCGAAGCAACGAGCGAATGAGCGCGTGGCAGATTGTATCAGAGGGGCGGGCGCGGGGTCACATGGAAGCCGCCGGCGGCGGTCTAATACCGTCGGGGCCTGTCGGCATGAAGGGCGTACCAGCGCCATCCAGATTGTTGAAGGCGACCGAGTTGCCCCACCAGTTCAGGGCCACCTCGCCATTCCTGGGCAGCGAGAGGACAAAGAATTGGAGGATGAACGACGTCACAGTGCCAAAGTCCATCGCTGCGCTGGTGACAAAGTTGTACTTTGACCACCACCTAAAGTTGAATTTGCGAATGACGTATTGAAAGATGAAACCTGTAAGGAACCAGCTGGTGTAGTTGATGCCGGTGCAAGGCGGAATGAACGCGATGCCGTTGAAAAAGATTGGCGTAGAAATGAATTTGATGATAGATCTTGGGAAGCGCCGAGCCAAAAACCAAATTGGGATGGGCACGATGGCTCCGACCAACAGGCCCCAGTAAACACTGCCGTACAGCGACTCTTTGCCGAACAAGTGCGTAGGACCAATGGCGCCCCAAATGACCGACGAGTTGAAGAAGACGTCTGCATTGGGGCAATCGAAGCGCTGTGGTTGGTCGTCTGAGCAGATGCGGTCCACGTGGCTGAACATGAATTGCTTGACAGCCCATTGCACAATGGCAGTCCAAGCAACGGCAACGAACTGCATGGTGAATGTGTAGCGCGGGTTGATCTTCATGTAGTGTCCAACCTTGAGATCTTGCACGAAGTTGAGCGTGCTGGACATCGTTTGAACGGCGTAGACTTTGAAGATCATATTCGGAATCGCCCTGCCTGGCATGACATAGCCTGCCACAACCTCGCCAATAAGATTGGTAAGAGGTAGCGTGCCAGTCATGGCATAGATGAAGCCAGATGGCAAGGTGTAGACCACTGAAACGGCGATGGCGAGTACTAGTGCCCAAACAGGCATACCCGTGCTGAAGACCTCGACAACAACGATGGCGAGACCAAAGGTGACGACCAAAGAGGCCAAGTACCACCACATCGGAACGGTAGGATAACGACGCATGAACTTGGCGTGGATGTCATCCTCTTCGGTCTTGATTTGACGGGCTCCCTTCCACAGGGCGTCACCGTGGTAGAGAGCAGTGTGGACCAGGACGGATGTGTTGGTAGCGAAACCGCTCCAGTACGCCATGAACAGCGAGACGGGAAGGTACAGCGCGGAGTATTGCGCATACTGCTCAAGGTTGAGCCTCGAGTCGGCGCCGAGCACTCGCTTGACGTCGTAGGGCTGTGCGAAGCGGTCAAAGCTGCGTCCGCTGATGAATGGAAGGTGCGCAAAGTTCCACACATTCTTGTAGTAGAGGATAGGCGCAACGATCCAGTAGAAAGCCAGAAACCCAGCGAAGATGTTGCATTCCGCCCACCACGGTGCAACTAAAGGTGATCCAATGTAGCTAATTTGCGACCAATCGAAAGTCAAGACTGACAGGCCCATGCCACCGACAGTGCCAAACAATGTGTTGACGAGGTGATTGTCTGCGAGATGGCGAGACCAGTATTAGTCTGCAGGTCCCGCACTCGGGATGCTTCCTCTCCGAAAGTACTCACTCGGCACAATCCAACACACCCAATTGAAGTAGTTTAGCGCCGTGAAGAGGAAATTGGTCACAAAGTACCAGACGAACGCGCCAAGCGACAGGAAGCTAAACCATCTGAACCGCGTGATGCTACCATCCATTCCGTCGTCTTCGGCATGAAGCGTATTGAGCACAGTAGCGGTGACCAGATTCTGGGGCCAGATCATGCTAGCAGGCGTCACCAAGAAGGGAATGCAAAGGCCAGAGAAACTAAAGCCCAGCAGCTGGCTGGTGAGCATGTAAAGGATGCCAAACCCTTTGCTGGTTGGCTCGCCGTAGAATTTGTCAGAGTCCAAAACTAGGAGAGTGTTGAATCCGTACGCCTGGCTGATAGCAACGTTGGCAGTCAAGGTGATGAGAGCGTGCTCTTTGATGTTGAAAGCGCCAGGATTGAGGCTGAAGGTGCCACCGCCTAGCCACCTTGGCAATCTCCACTCGGTGATGGGCAGCACATACGCCATACATTTGCCTATTGGGTATGCCACCAGCTGGATGATGATCGGAGTGATTGCGGGCGACGGGTAGCGCAGGTTGAACAGAATGTTCGCTGCAGAAGCAATCGTGACAAGGATCATTGCGATTACGAACATCCTGAAGGTGAACGCCGGCATGTCGGGATCGTCGATGTTGGAAACCGAGGCGCGAACTTCTGGGTAGGGCGAATCTTCCTCCATATCCATCTCAAGCTCGACCATACGCATTCCCATGGGACCTATCTGGGCGTTGCCGTTCGACGGATGCGCCAGTCCCTCGCCGTCGCCGAGGCGCTCTTCGTACCCCAGCTTGGACGAGAGGTCGGCATCAGTGTCACCAAAGTCGTAGCTTGTGCCCAGATTGAATTTGACATCGCTGTCGGGACTTCGACCTGCATCCGCATGAACGCTAAGTCGGTTGTTGCGCTGTCGCATGCTGCCGTGGCCGACCGCAGAGACGTTTGCAGCGGCAGGGTCAATGGTTCCCAGACCGCTCGTGCGCCGGGATTGGCTCACCGGGATGTGACTGTCAACCATCATACCGCCGCTTGCGGTCGTGCCAAAGTCGCGAGCACCGTGCCGTGATGATAGGCCTTCTCGACTTGTGGGCAAGTAGTCCACTTCGTCGAGTACATCCATTTGAGGTAGGGCGTGCACTGACCTAGCGTGACTCAGCGCCGGGCCCACATCCCTGCTGACGCTCGAAGCATTCGATGACACGCGATCCATCGACACTCGCGGATCGGCGAGGTAAGCGGCGCGACGTGTGCCAGCGTCGTAAATGGGAGAGTCGAAGGAGTTGCCTCGACCTGGCAAAGGAATGGCGCTCCTCACCTCCTCCAACCCGACGGGCTCGCCAATCGCCTCGGGTTCATGCTCTACCATACCTATAGCGACCGAGTCGTCGCCCATGTGAGGATCGGCAGAGCGGAAAGACTCGGGAGCGTCGCCCTGCGCAGTCTCTTGCACATTCTCGCGCAGCGCAGCAGGATCAAAGCCGGGCGGCATCTCTACCAGATTCCCCTGCGCGTCGTAAACGGCTCCAGTGACTTCATCAAAGTAGAAAGTCTCTTCTTCATCTTCTTCTTGAGCAGCTTGCGCCTTCCGGGTGGGATCAAGACCAGTGGCAGCGATGCTGAGAGCGTTAGGATCGCTAGCCTGCCTTGACGCATCGTTTGGCGTTGGCGGCATCTCTGGCATAGCCGACGCATTCACGCTTGCGCCTGAAGCGTCTCCAATCTGAATTGTTGGCGCTGATTGGCCAATGTCGGCTGAAAGGGGAAGGACAATAGCAACAAGTGTAAGCTTTGCTCGATTGCGTTGAGGATACTGAGCAAGGTCAATGCGAGCTTGATTCACTCACGAGGCACGAATGCGAACACGTCACCATCGTCCTCGCTCTCATACTCATCCTCGTCCCATTCGTCCAAATAGCCCTCCTGATCTCCCGCAGCGTTGTTGAGACCGCCCACGCCCCGTGTCAGAGGTCTTTGACCAGATGCAGTGCCTGTCCTTGCCGTTCTTGGTCTACCTGTGGTGGGCCTTCCGCTGCTCGTGCCTGCTCGTCTTCCGCTGCTCGTCCCCGGCCTATCGGAATCACCATCACGCGCGAAGCCGTTCATCGTGGGTGGAGCTCAGCAGTCAGTTTCAGCGGCAAAAGGCTGACGAAGCTGTTGCACAATCTGATTCGCGGTGACTGAGACCGCGCGCGAAGCAGGATGAAAGCCTGGCAGAATTGCTGCGCAAAGGGCAGCGTCGAAAGACGATGACGCCAGCTTCGATGGTTGAATAGCGTGAAGAAGTGCGAGTGCGTGGCTGTATGCAGGCTTGAGCGGATGCTGGTGGGCTGAGGATAGAGAGAGGCAATGGAAAAAGGGGGGGGGCGCTTACGGATGGAGAGGCGGCAACCAGATGGGGAAATCAGAATCACGAATGGTACGATTGTGATGGCGGGCGAAAGGCGACTAATGCTTGCCTTGTGCGGGCCGCAGTGCATGGCCACAGGCTTTGTTGCGCGCGGCGATGGGACAGTGTGAGTGTGATGGGTCGCGCTATTTGCACAACCGGATTTTAGTAAATACACAACCCGGCTTATTCAGTCGAGTTTTAAATTCGACCACTGGAATCTTCTCAAAAAGTCGACCTGACAAGTTGTTTCTTCTATCGCACGAGAAGCAGTCGACTGCCCAAGTCGACTGCTGCTATCGCACGAGAGGCACTCGACTTGGGCAGTCAACTAGCTAGTGGTTCATCCGGTTGTGTCTTTGATTTGCCCGACATAAGTCGACTTGTGTAGTCGACTTTCAGACTCGGCTGACACAAAGGCAGGTGAGGTCGACTTGGTAAGTCGATCTCCTCTCGTGCGAGAGCAGATTCGACTTACCAAGTCGACCGGGACAATTCAAATGCTATTCGAGTTCTGTAAACAACTTCACAAGTTGAATCTGACCTGCTTTTCCACGCGGCGCTCAGCGCCGCGTGGACAAGGCGACTTGGTGAGTCGGATCGTCCAAAATGCGACTTGTCAAGTCGAATGCAGCATGCATCTTGGTGCGTCTGACCATCCAATCGGCGTTGAAAGTCGAATCTCACCCATTGCCGACTCTCTAAGACGACCTATCCACACAAATGATGGGGTCGGGACTGTGAATCGGCTTCCCCAGTCGTTCTTCGTCTCGGCCGAGACGAGAGACGACTTATGGCGCCGACTTAAGGTAGAAATCAATTTAACTTTTGTCTGCGCAGACCCATCAATCATAGCTTCCTCTCACGTCTGCTTGCTCGGTCTTCACAACCACATCGTCCTCGTTACCCAGACTTTTTGAGGCAGCTTCAGCACCTTTCAAACCCTCAAAAGCACCTCTCTAAAGCATTTTTCTTAGTCAAGATGAACTGCACAGCTCCAGTCAACAACAACTTAGAGAAAAAGCTGCAACGTCTGCTGATTCAGCTCGGCATCACGGACCACCTCATGATCCACCACATGGAGACCCGTGAAGAGTACGCAAAGCGTATCGAGCGGCTCTCTGCTGGGAGAAGGAGCAAGACCAAGCAGAATCAGCATTTTCAACTGCTGGTTGAGGCCGTCAGCGATGGAAAGCAAGGCCTGAAGCTGGAACATCGCGCCAAGCACGTCATCTCTGGGGCTCAGCTTGGGCCAATGGGCAATCATGCCCCAATGCTCTTTTCTGCCAACTGGGTGCTTGGAGTTTCGAAGGATCCGTGGGCATCTGAGCCCGCAGGAAGTCATGGGCACAATGCAATTCAACGCTTGCAGCCGTGCATGTTTGAGGACGTCGCCAAGATCCAGCGCGCCTCTAAACAAGGTCGTGATCTTGCGCGCAAGGTAGTCACTAAAGGTACTGCGCACTATGTCTCAGCTAGTGGGGAAGCGGTCTTCTACTTGGGCTATTGGTGCGACAGGCGTGACGAAACGGATGCAACGATGCATTGGTGGGGTTCAAAGGACCTGACGCAGTTCTCGTGCGCAGGCAATCAACATCTTGCGACGCACACCGTTCTTTCTTTCTTGCACTGGGCCAGCATGTTTACCGACAAGTGGGTCCAGCGCTTCATTCTTTCCAAGCGTTACCTCGTCTGCGACGTCACCAGAGGCCTCTGGAAGAACTCTGAGCGCGTGCACAAGGTCGTCACCCGCCTGTGCGACAAGGCGCGCTTCTTTCTTTCGCCGATGTACAACATGATCGTCTTGGTGCACGGCGACACCGCAACAAAGGCGACGGCGCAGCGAGCAGGTCTTGCTTGCTCACTTGGCACGATGAAGACAGACGGGCGCTACTGGCTCTTCAACCTCGGTTGCGCCTTCCTGCTTTACTTTCCGGAGTATGACATCTGGGCGGAGGTCCTTTGGTGCGACACGCTCTTCATTGCCGGCCACCTCGAATGGAGAACGTACGCGCACCCAGACGCCGCAGAAAAAGCAGGCGAGCGTGTCTTCATGCTTGGCCTACAGCATCCTCGGCATGAAGAGGAGGCAGCGGCGACCGAGGAGTTCGAGAAGCGGCACCGAGGGATCAGTAGTGCGCTTCTTGAGGAGGCAAAGCTTGCGTGCGACGTAAAGGAGTACGAGGGAGGCTCCCGATCAAAGCACGATGTTGCGCGTGCTGCGTACGGACCGTGGCCGACGTTGAAGGAGGAGATCTTGCGCGCGGGACGCTTCCTCACGGAAGAAGAGGCAGCGGCAGAGTTAGCTGCTGACAAGTCGCCTGCAGCACAGGATCAGCCCACCGATCCTAATGCAATGGACACAACTGGCATTGGATCATCGTCAGCAAGAGCAGCAGCGGACAATTTCGAGACTTCGAACGTCCGTGGCAGCTCGCCATGCGCTCTCGCCGGCCCCAGCACGCCAGCAAAGCGCAAGTCGTCGCCTGTGCGCCAATCTCTCGGCGCCCTCAGCCTCGACGCTAGCGACGACGACAAAGACGAGGCAGAGATTGTTGCCCGACTAGTCGCCGAACGACGTCGTGCGCGCGCTGCACAGCCCGAGGGAGCGAGTCCTCTTGACGCCGCGGATATCCCGTCTTCCGCGTCTGTTGGAGGACGCAAGCGCACGCGATCTCAGACGCAAGGCGCTGCGCAACCTCCGTCGCCTTCTGCTCGCAAGAGCAAAGGCGATGCATCATCATTGCAGGCTGGAAAGGCAAAGGGTAAGGCTACAGGCGGCGGCGGGGATGCAGGGAAGAAGACGAAGGAAGCGGCGAAGAAGAAGAAGAAGAGGAAGCTGTGAAGGGTTCGGGCGTGAGGAATGCGATGGATGAGGACCGTGTCGAGTCTAATTGCGTCTGATTTTGGTCTGTGTCTTGCACTGCTATTGCTCGCTGGTTTGTATGATTTAGAGGATGAAGAGGACACTTCCTATTTGTCTTCATGTGCCCGGTCTGACCGTGTAACGATGCGGCTCAGCGGCGATAGCCGGAGTCGTCACCGGCGCAAGTAAGGTTCTGTGCTCGTCGAACTAAGAGCAGGGAACAAGCGGTGAGTGGACGGAACGTTACGACTGGCGAGGACTTAGCTGATGCTAGAGCTAAGAAGAGAGAGAGAGAGGGAGACAGCTGGGTGATCAGTCCAGGCGTCGAGCAAGCGTTGAAGGTGGTTGGTCGGAGTAGTGATTCAGTCAAAGTTGTCGTACGAGAAGGTTGTGGTAGGAAGCATGCATTTCTGAGAAGAGGAGGCCGGAAGAAGGCCTCCTTATATACCTTTTGTC